CTTTGACGAATTCCAGAAACTATCTGTCGCCAACCAGAAAATGGCATGGACTTTGCACAAGAACATTCTTCGGGACTATTTGGCCCTAGCAGAGGACTCGAATTCGATACTGGCTGAAAAGGATGATGCCATTCTCCAGTTACAGGAACTGATCCAGAGCAATGAGCAACAAATCACAGAGCAACAACAATTCAGAAATATCTTGAAAAGCAAACCCAACAAGCTTTGAAGAATGAACCAGGACACCACTCTCACAGTTGACTGTCAGCTCGGATTCCAGACCCTCCAATCCTCACAGATGGGATAGAGCCAGCATTTGAAGACTGGGTTGTGAAAATTCGCCTCAAGCTTGAAGCCAACATTGATCATTTTCCAACACAGACTTTACAAATGAGCTACATTCAGAGTCGACTGGGAGGACTGGCAGTTCGACATGTCAATCCAAGGCTTCGACCAAACTCTACAAACAAATTGCAGACAGCAGAAGAAATTCTCGAACTTTTGGAAAAAGTCTTCAGTGATCCCAATCGAAGGCACACAGCTCAAACTGAGTATCGAAAGCTGTATCAGAGAAACAACACCTTTGCAGTGTTCTGGGCTGAGTTCCAAAGGCTCACGACAGAGCTTGATTACTCTGAAGAAACTTTGCTGGATGACTTGCGCTTCAAAGTCAACCAACAGATGCAGAAAGCCTTAGTGGCTGAAGTTGGAGCTACTACACTTCACGAGTTTGCAAAGAAATGCATGCTCATCGACCAGAACATTCAGCGGATCAAGGAACAAGAAGACAAAAGGAAGCCAAAGTCATTTTCGAACAACATGGGCCAAACTCAAAATCAGGGCCAGGCACTTCAAACTTCAATCCCTCAACCTACAATGGATTCCAACATGCAAAACAAGACGCAGAAGCTGTATCGACCACCGCATTAAGATCCAGCAAAAGAAATGCTCATGAAACTTGGGAAATGCTTCATATGCCGACAAAATGGACATCGAGCTCGAGACTGTCCCCAGAAGCTCAAAGCTCAAGTGAATGAGGTATCTACAGCTGAGTCTATCATCGATTCGGAAAACGAATAGCCTCTAGACAAGTCATCACTAGAGGCAGTGCAGCCAGAATTGCAGCTTCTTCCTCGAGATCCAGTTTTGATCCGGACACCCCTTTCTTAGCTACTTGTAGAATAGGAAAATACAAAGCTATTGTCGATGCATTGATCGATACTGGTGCCACAGGTGGAAACTTCATTAATGCTGCTGATGCAGAAAGAATATGTGAAATCGAAGGGATAGCCCCAGTCGAACTTGTGAAGCCAAAACAAGTTGAAGGATTCAATGGAGAGGCTGCCCCTGCTATCACACATGCTATATATCCTCGACTACAAGTGGGAGAGCATGTGGAAAGCCTATGTCCATTATTCATCACTTCGCTGGGAAAACATTCCATCATTCTCGGGAAAGCTTGGATGAAGCAACATGGAGTTGTTCTCGATATGATCAATGATCAAGTCCTCTTCACTGGAGATTATTGCAACCATTCTATACCAGATCGAGCCCTCGAAACAGAGCCTATATCTAAAAGCGAAAGACAAAGGCCAAAGAAGAAAGCCAAAGAAATGCCTCCTCCGGAACCTGCTCCGAAAGTGGAAAAACCAAAACCTTGCACCATAGCAATGATTGGCGCAGCACCATTTCGAATGCTCATGAAGCAAAGAGGAGCTCAAGTCTTTGCTATATCAATGAAGGACATAATCGAGCACAAGAACAAGACCAAAACTGAAGAAATTGACTCTCGACTGATCCTTCCGAAGGAATTTCATGAATTTTTGGATGTTTTTTCAAAAATGGCAGCAGACAAGCTACCTCCCCATCGACCTTCAGACCATCATATTGAACTCGAAGGTGATGCAAAGCTGGGATATGCACCACTCTGGAATATGTCAAAGGAAGAACTTGATTTGGTCGAAGAATATGTCTTCGAGCACTTGCCAAAAGGGTTCATTGAAGCAAGCAAAGCCCCATACTCTTCACCCATTATGTTTGTGAGAAAGCCAGGTGGTGGTCTTCGATTCTGTGTTGACTACAGGAAGCTAAATGCCATAACGAAAAAGGATCGATATCCCATACCACTCATTGATGAAACGCTGGCCCAAGTCATAGGAGCAAAATATCTCACCAAACTGGACATTCGACATGCCTTCAATCGAATTCGAATGCAGACAGAAGAAGATGAAGACCTCACTACATTCAGAACTCGATTTGGATCCTACAAATACAAGGTCATGCCCTTCGGACTCACAAATGGTCCAGCAACATTCCAGAGGTACATGAATGAAACCCTCATGGATTACCTCAACCAATTCGTCACCGCATACATGGATGACATTCTTATCTACAGTGCTACTCGAGCGGAGCATACAGAGCACATAAGGAAAGTCCTACAGAAGCTTCGCGAAGCTGGACTGCAAGCAGATATCTCAAAATGTGAGTTTTTTCGTCCAAGAAACCAAATTCCTAGGACTCATCGTGGGAGTCAATGGCATTCGCATGGACCCTGCAAAGGTTTCTACTATATTGGAATGGCGAACTCCAAAATCGCTCAGGGATATGCAAGCTTTCATTGGATTCTGCAATTTCTATCGAAGGTTCATCCGAAATTACTCCAGCATCATGAGGCCATTGGTGAACCTTACCAGAAAGGATCAGATATTCGAATGGACTCATGCATGCCAAACTGCATTTGAGCTGTTGAAACAAACAGTCACAGAAGCTCCTGTCTTGAGGCATTTCGATAGAAACAAGACAGCCTATGTCGAAGCAGATTCCTCAGACTTCATCTCATCAGGAGTCTTGTCACAAAAAGATGATCAAGGGGTTCTACATCCAGTGGCATACTTCTCAAAAAAGCTAGCACCTGCAGAATGCAATTACGAGATATATGACAAGGAATTGCTTGCAATCATCAGATGTTTCGAAGCATGGAGACCAGAACTTGAAGGGACAGATTTTCCAGTCCAAGTCTTGTCTGATCACAAAAGCTTGGAATACTTCATGTCCACCAAGAAGCTGACAAGAAGACAAGCTCGATGGGCTGAATTCCTCTCTCGATACAACTTCCAGATCATCTATAGGCCTGGGAAGCAAAATGGAAAAGCAGATGCTTTGACTCGAAGGCCTGGTGACAGACCAGAAGGCAATGATGAGGATGATCGACAAAAGCAACAGCTTCAGGTGTTGCTACCACCTTTGAGGCTACATCCAGACATTCAGAAACTCAAAGAACAAGGCCAAACAGCTCAGCTAGCTCCAGTGGAAACTCATATCAGAGAAATGACAATTCTTGAGAAAATCCAAAAGTCTCAACTGGAAGACAAATTCTGCAAGGCTACACTACAGAAGCTTGAGAATGGTGATTGAACAAGCAAAGAGGTTGCATTGGCTTATTGCGAACTCAAAAACGGCATGCTAGAATATCAAAATCAAGTTTGGGTGCCAGAAACCATTCAGGTGGACTTGTTGAGAGAAGTTCATGAACAACCTTCTATGGAACATCCAGGAGCTGGAAATATGCTATGAGTCATGAAACAGCACTATTACTGGCCAAACATGGACAAAACAATAATTCGATATATCAAAAACTGCCATAGTTGTCGAAGATGGAAACCATCTCGAGATTCCTACAATGGACTTCTACAACCAATCCCTATTGACAGTCGACCATGGATGGATATATCAATGGATTTCGTGACAGGATTACCACTCTGTGAAGGGAACAATGCTATCTTGGTTGTTACTACCTTCAAGACAATAGGGTTTCATACTTGTGCATGGCGGAGTTTGCTGCCAACAGTTTGCCATCAGATGCAACCAAGACAAGTGCGGTTTTTGCGAACAAGGGCTATGAACCAAGAATGAGCTTCGATACAGAGCAGCAAGCATATCACGAAGCCAAACAAGAGCACAAGAACATAGCTCAGACCATGGCAAAGGTTTGGGAGTTTCTGCAGGATGAAATCACGCTCTCGCAAGCAAAAATGGAACATTTCGCGAACAAGAAAAGGAAACCTGCACCACGCTATCAAGTGGGAGACAGAGTATGGCTTTCAACTCGAAATATAAAGACACAGAGGCCATCAAAGAAGCTAGACCACAAGCAAGTGGGACCTTTTGAAATTCTAGAGCGAATTGGGCAAGTTGCATATCGGCTCAAACTTCCAAACAGCATGAAGATTCATCCAGTATTTCATGCCAATCTATTAAGACTTGACTCGAATAATGCAATTGAAGGGCAGCAACAGGAGCCAGAGCCTCCAGTCATTGTCAATGGCGAAGAGGAGTGGGAAGTGGACGAAATCCTCGACTCAAAAGTTATTCGAAAGAAGCTTTTCTACAAGGCAGCTTGGAAGAACTATCCACCGGATGAGACATGGTATACTGCAGAGAGCTTTGAAAATTCTCCAGAAGTTACCCAAGCATATCACAGAAAATACCCTCAGAAACCAAAATGAGACCTGGAGACAATTGTTTTTTTTTTGAAAATGGGATTTCTTGATCAGGAGATCAACTCTGGAGTGGGGGGGGGGGAGTGTTACGATATCAAGTGCGCCTTGCAGCTCGAGTGGGGGTTCAGGGGTGTGGGGAGCTTTCCGGGGTTGGAGCGAAGTTTTCAGTTGTGGAGTGAATTCTCAGAACTAGTCTCACTAAAGAGAATTCACTCCACAACAACATAGCTGTATATAGATTGAGCCACTGCTCGAGTGCTCCTCTTCTCTTTCCTTTCTTCTCTAGATTGAGTTTAATTCATAATACCCAACTGGCGCCCTATGCCTTGGTGAACCGTGACAACAACAACCTTCTTCTTCAACCTTCTTCTTCAACCTTCTTCGTCAACCCCCAACACCCCCAACACCCCCAACACCACCGACACTTCTAAGATCAAGGAGGTAAGTCTACTCAATCCTTTCTACTTACTTTATAGTAATTGTTATAGTAAGACAGCCACGATGGTTGGAAAACAAAAGAACAACGACGAGAAGTCGAAGAACAAGAATACCCAGCAGGTCACAAAACGCCGCAACAACATGAGTGAAGTTGAACGCACAATCGACAACGCCAAGAGGGCAGATACAGCTGCTGTTTCATATGCCTTGCGAAATCTCCGGGCAACTTCTGAGTTCAAGAACCTCGACAGCCAAGCTCAAGAACGTCGAGTAGAAGCCAAAAAGACCAAGGTAGCTCTCAAGCGGTAAGATCTATTCCTATCCACTGTTATAGTAATAAGTATAGTAACATAGAAACAGTGTACGTGATGGAAAGCATGCAACTGTTGTTCAGCAACGTCTTGGGATTGGTGAGGGAGGGGGGGCATATTCTCTTTGGGACGACGGAAACATTGCTTGGGTGTTACGACAGAACAAGAAGGCTGGCCAACTACAGGACAGGAAGGAGGGAGGTCGCATGAGACCGGCCCTGGTACCTGGAGGGGCAGCGGGGAATAGTAGTTCCGAAAGTATCACGTGATGGACTTGCAGGATGATGAGAAGAATCCTAAGAGTCCAGGACTCCGAGGACTCGAGTGAGTTCCCAGGAGTCCACTAGGCACGACGCCTTTGTGTCTGATCCCCTGCCTCCTCTGATAAGTAAACCTTTACGCAAGAGAACCTCTGTGTCTTCTATCGTTTAGAAGTCAGTGTTACATTGGGAAACCGAGGATGAGGATGATGAGGTAGTGCAAGAGGCTATGTGGAGGGAAGATGAGAAGGCCAATGGCGTTGATGATGTTGGAATTCAGAAGATCCAGAGAGAGATGGTGGCACAATCTGTCGCTACAACCAAGTGTCATACTGACATTCGTTGCACTCAGTTTGCTATCAAACTCAAGAGCAAACTTGGAAATCTCCTCCTCAAACCTACAAGTCACTATACATATTTTGGCTTATCACACCAACAACAAGAGCAATACTACTCAACGATTGCTACAACCATCTATGATTCATTACACGTCATTGCTCCTTAGTTACTGGGCCGATATTACCACATAGCATATCTCTACAACCCTCTATGATTCATTACATGACATCACTCATACTACCACATGACATATCTCTACCAACTAGAGGCCTAGGAGCATGAACGATAGCTCTAAAAGCTCCTACGAACCTCTATGATTCATTACACGTCATCGCTCTTTAGTTACCCACAAGATTGGTTAAGTTATGACATAATTTGTCTATGACATAATTTGTCTATAGGGGTACTCTGACCTTGGACCTCCTTTTACTTCCTATAGGCTACGAACCTAAGAGATGGTTCTATGGGATTCTCTTATGTCGACTACAGTTACCAAGCCTGGTAAGTCATGGAAAGTCTTGGAAAATGAGAGAACTACACTCCTTTAGCATAAATAGGATTGCCCTTTCCTTGAGAAAGGGCAATCAATACAGTAAATCGACTATCACATACTTCCACATCTTTTTCAAGCTTCCAAGCATTCATCTTGTTACTCCTTGTTTCTGAAAAGTCAGTGAGGTGTTAACCTCTGACTTACCCCTGAGTTCCCAGACTCAACATTTGTTGCAACTTGTCTGAACCACTTCACTACATCACACACCTGATTGCTGTGTTGTGGAATAGTCTAAGCTACAACCCTTTGGCTCTGTTTCCTAAGACAGTGTGTTGTCTTAGTAAATTCATCCCTTCCTTGGGTGGCTAGATTCTCACATCTGGTGCACCCACCATTACACCCAGCTGAGTGGTACCCTGATGATTACGATACTACTCAGCATGGTTTCCATGTTGATCTTGATGCTGGCAGAGCATATGAAGCTTGGGAGATGTTGGCTGAAGAAACTGAGCCTACCAATTTCAAGTGGGTCTTGCCATCCGATGATACATTGGTACTGTTGCCTCCAACAAAAGAATCAGAGGAGTTTCTCAGCCAGTTCTACAAAATGTAGATTAGTTTCTTCTTCTACAATAGTCTAGGTAGATCAATACACTACTGTTGACGCTACCACTTCTTAGTTTACTATAAATATTACTATAATTGGCTTATAAGGCTATAGGCCCATAATACCAAAACACGCTACTACCATATACTCCACAAGTAATCTAAAATACTATAAAGAGGAGAATTCAAGCGAAATAGAGAAGTACGTATAGAATAGATGTAGACCTTAATAAATATTGAGGTTGACTGTTTTATTTTCCTGATAATAATATAATATTGAATATTTTAAAATATTATGTCTTATAACCAATCTTTAAGTTCGCCAGCACAACCTTATAGCGATGTATTCTCTCTTGATGAGCCTTTATCTAGTAATAGAACACCTGAGATTGAGTCCTCCCAACAACTTAACAACCAATGGGATGGGCTAGAAAAGATCCAAGGTCTAAATGTGCTAAAGTGGACGCCTTCAAAGGCAGGGGAACCAGTAATTGTTTGCCAGAGGTGTTTGAAAATACTCATCCACCCAAGTATTAAAGGCTCAGGGACAAGCACAATGAGCACTCACCTTCGATCAGCTGGGTGTATAAGGAAGTTATCAAACCATTCTACATTACATCAGAGCCAGCTCCGCCTCTCGCAATCCTCTCCAGTAAGCAATATTACATATTACTATACTTATTACTATAAACATACCTAACTATTATTTAGAGTATGCGGCTACAACCAGAAGACGACCCAAAGGAAGCATTCTACAGTTACGTTCTTGAGACTGTAGTATCTCTTAACATATCATTCCGATCTGTTGAGAATCCTATTTGGAGAGAGATGGCATTATGGCAGAATCAGAAATATCCACTTCCTTCACCAACAACCTTACGGCGGCGCCTTGATGTTATGGTTAGTAATGCACAGCAGATTGCCCTTCATGGTCTTGTACCTGGGGCAAGGTGTGCATTATCTCTTGACAATTGGTCTAGCCCTGGAACAAGGCACTCCTTTATGGGTATTATGGCAACATTCATTACTGATAAATGGGAATACCGTGAGGCTTTAATTGGGTTTGAGTATCTTGATGGAGCCCATACAGGGAAAGATCTTGCAACCATTGTCCAGCGTGTTATATCCCAATTGTTACGACGGAACAAGAAGGCTGGCCAACTACAGGACAGGAAGGAGGGAGGTCGCATGAGACCGGCCCTGGTACCTGGAGGGGCAGCGGGGAATAGTAGTTCCGAAAGTATCACGTGACGGACTCGCAGGATGATGAGAAGAGTCCTAAGAGTCCAGGACTCCGAGGACTCGAGTGAGTTCCCAGGAGTCCACTAGGCACGTGATGGACTCGCAGGATAATGAGAAGAGTCCTAAGAGTCCAGGACTCTGAGGACTCGAGTGAGTTCCCAAGAGTCCACTAGGCACGACGCCACTATATAAGTAGATAGTATTTCCTTAGATAGGAGCTTCGTGCTCAACTCAATACAGTATTTGTTATATACTAGTAACGTGTTACTTGAAGCCTTTGTGTCTGATCCCCTGCCTCCTCTGATAAGTAAACCTTTACGCAAGAGAACCTCTGTGTCTTCTATCGTTTAGAAGTCAGCGTTACACCAATATCACCTCGATGGTAGAGTTCATTGTATTACAACTGATAATGCAAGTAATAATACTTCAATGATGGGGGTTATTAACGACATGGTAAAAGAGCTATCATCAGAGCCAACAAGATACCATGATGGAGTCATTCACCATATACCATGCTTCGCACATATTGTCCAGCTTGCACAAAAGGCTCTCCTTGGGTCAATCCGATTAAACCCAACAAAGTCAGAGCTACAGACTGACTGGGATGAAAATTCAGCCAACGAGATTAGAGATCTAAGTAAAGAGAGGGGCCTTCCATGGATCCTTGCCAAGGTATGTTTATAGTAATTTTTATAGTAATTGCCACTAATATAAAACTAGCTTCGGAAGCTAGCTGTCTTTGTGAATTCAAGTTTACAGCGAAGAGAGAGATTTATGGGAATCCAAAGACAGTGTATTAAAGATGGAGCAAAGGTCTTACGACTTATCCAAGATGTGTTAACGCGATGGGACTCAACCCTACATATGATGCTACAAGCAGTCTTACTCCAAGAAGCAGTGAATAAGTTTACAACTGAGTTTACTGCAGCTAATATATTTCATATTAGTCCCCCAGAGTGGAAACACATCACCTACCTTATTGATGTTACTCGCCAGTTTAGCTTCTGGACCTCAAACATGGGTATAGCAAGTGGTGCTCGACTAGGCTTTGTTTTACCAGCATATGACGAGCTATTTGAAGGGCTTGAGGAGTGTACCTGTCGGCTAAAGCCACTACAAGACCCATGGATCAAAAAGCTTCTTATAGCTATTGATAAAGCTATTCAAAAGCTTGACAAGTATTATACAAGATCTTGTACAGGTACTGGAAGCTTCTATGCCTTTGGAGCTATTCTATCTCCCCGGTTAAAGATGGAAGTGTTTAACCCTAACTATTGTTGGTTAAATCCTGAAACAAACTGGCAGAGGCATTTTGAGAAGCAATTCCGGGCACTATATACTCAACATTACGCCAACCAAGAAAGGTCAAAGCAGCACCAGTCACAGTATACAGAACTAGACAAGGACCCAATGGCTTTAATGTTAAATCGGAAGTGAAGCTATAACTCCTTAAGTCAGGCCACTGACCAGGGAGGAGAGATTGAGTGGTAACTTGCTCTCCGTAAGTCTATAGTAATAATTATAGTAATAATTACTAACTTTTACTAGCACCCTCCCACCAACCACCATTATTATGGTGGAAAGATAACGAGCGATTATTCCCTGGGTTTGCTGCTATGGCCCGGGATATACTTTGTATTCCTGCATCTGAAGCCCTCGTTGAGCGGGTCTTTAGTACTGCCCGTGCTGTCTGCAATTATAGGCGCAACCAGATGGCCCCTGAGACAATAAGGGGTATTATGCTTGTCTTCTACCAACAGAAAATCGAACGGGAACAGCTCTTTGAACACTACTCAGTTACGGATATTATTGATTCAACCTATATGAATGATGAGGAAATATCATTTGAGTATAATGCTCTAATTGATAATATCCAGGAGAAGATGGCACTACAGTACATTCCAGACCGAAGCCCAAGGCAGCCAAATACCTATGACCAGACAAGGCGGAACAAAGACCGGTTTGAATTTGTTCAATCACGACGAGGTCTCCATAGCTTGCCAAGGGTACAGCGGTCACAAGGCCAGTGTAAGGATGCCTCCGTACCTAGATACTCGAAGAACCTGTCTCAGAACTGTTACGGTCACTACAAACATGGAATCCGACTCGGTGGGGTTTCGAACCAGTAGAGGATCATATAGCGACTTACACTATAGTGGGGGACGGTAAGTGTATAGGGTTCAGGGCCGATGTAGACCTGTTGCGGTGGAAGGTTCAGGGCTAGGGTTGGGATAACCGAGTCGGGCCCGTTTCCGGAGTTAAGGAAACAGACTCAACGGGGTTCCCCCTTCATCTTTTTTGTATCCTTCGTAGTAGACCTATAGGATAGAATACAGCATCACCTCCGACTCGCACTCCCATATGCACCTACGGAGAGCCGTATTCCCTGTGTCCTTACAGCCAGCAAAGCCAAGTTCGTTACCAAAGTCAAGTTGATCTCTCAACTTTTGACTTTATTGACCATGAGGTAGACGATTTTGAGGGGTACCCCCTAGCCAGAGTGAGGGTGATTATTTACTACCTTCACTTCCTATTGCAAAGAAATCACGGAAGGATAATGGGGCCCAGTTGCCCCAGAAGGCAGTAGTTGAAACAGTTGAGTTAAGCCAGGTCCGTAATAAGTCTCGGTCTGGTCGGGAAATTCAGGAGTCATGGCGTAACATAGATCTATAACGTACATGTATAGCGAAAGCGCCAAACAAGCGAAAGCGCCAAAATTATCTACCCTCACGACAAACATTGCGATAAATCTACCACAACATTAGAAATCAATTGAAACTACTCGGAGTCCTCTTCCTCAGAGGTGTCTATTACAATCTGACACGTGCGCGCATTGTGCCCAGTCTCACCACACTTGCCACAGCGACGGGCATGGGTTTCTTCCCTTGGCTTCCGACCACGGCTTGCCCTTATTTCCTGCTCTACCTGCTGCACAACATCCCTCTCATCCTGTAGCTCTTGCGCCCCTTGTTGACTAAGTGATCCTCCTTGCTGTAGTCGTGTTTTCCTAGCTCTCCGGCGCTTGCTTAGTACTTCATTTGCCTGTCGTAGGTTTTGGTTCTCTCCCTTTAGCAGTGCTAATTGATGCATTATTTGCGATGCACCCTTTGTAAACTGGTCAACAGCTGCATAGATTGAGGTTGGAGAGCTATTTTGATGGCGTGAAATCCGAGTTTTAATAAATGTAGACTGTGACATAGCTTCAATTGGGTTGTTTGGTGTCTGAGAAACCCAAGGTTGAGCAGTACCTGGGCGGGAGCTTGGAGGCGTTGGTGTCCTTAACTTAAGATCAAGTGTAGATATCACTCTCTCAGGGTCAAATGGAAGAAGCCCTGCCCCTCGGAACCCGCCTCGAATGTTACTTTCCGTCATTGTAGTGTTAAATGCAGCGTGGAAGGCAGGAAAGAAGTCATCCTTTGTAATATGAGAAATATGAGCCTGCATCATATCTTCAATTTGCCGACCATAAGCCTGCTTTAACGGGCCGAAACAGCCAACATCAAGTGGCTGGAGTAGATGAGAAGAGTGAGCAGGCATACAAAGCGTAATAATGTTGTGTTCCTTGCAGTACTCCTCAAACTCATCTGAGTGGTGGCTCTCATGACCATCAAGGACTAACAAGCGATAACCACCAACACTCCGGGCCTTTGTATGCTTCTCAAAGTGCTGAATCCAATCCATGCCTCTCTCGTTTGTAGTCCAGCCATTTTCAGTAACAGAAATCACCCAATCGCTTGAAAATCCACTATTCTCATACCAAGATGTAAGGTGGTTTTTGCCTGCAACAATGATAAATGGTGGTACTGCCCAACCTTGAGAACTAACGCCTTGGATTACTGTAACCCATTCCCGATTACCAGGCTGTACCTTCTTTGCTTTTGCCCGCCCGTCTGAGCTTGTTACAACCATAGCAGTTGAGATAACGCCCATCATAAACCCAGTCTCATCAAAGTTGTAGATATCTGCTTCATCGATACCATATTTCGCAATTGTGTTACGCACAAGCTCAAACCAGCCATTAATAACTTCTGGATCTTCGCACTTAGCCCTCTGGTAGTCGTATTTGCGCTGAAAGCGTGTCTGGAGCTCTACACGCCGCTTAACAAAGTTTGAAGCCCAACGCGACCCAACGCGTGACACGTCGCGTGTTGCAAGTAGTCGACTTGCCATATCTTCAACAACAGACAGCCGAGGAGGAAACCCTTTGGCAGCTAGGTCGAGTATATACTGAACAAGGACGGACTCCTCTAGGTTAGTTAATTTCCGTGAGTTGGCTTGGATATCGCGTCGTGAAGGTACACCTTCTAGACGACGACCTAGCTTGCGGTGGTCCACAGAATAGATCCTAGCAGCAACTCGAAGGCGTAACTTTGGGTTGCTTTGCATAGCCTGGATAGCTAGCACTAATTGGCTTTCATCGTTTTTATGGGGCATGTTTTGTTGTTGAGGAATTTAACATTTAGTTGGGGGGTTTGGTCACCGCATCATTTTGGCGCTTTCGCTTGTTTGGCGCTTTCGCTATACATGTACGTTAGTAATAAATATAGTAATTGCTTGTAAATTATACGTCCTATACAAACTACACTCACATATATAAAGTACACGTGATAGCAAATATAAATGTCCCGTGACTGGTTTCTTGGCAGACCGGTGGGTACCCGTGGGTTATTGGCTTCAGACCGGCCCATGGTCTGGGTGGAAGTTTTCCACCCAGACAGACCCATGGGCCGGTCTGGGTTAGGTTACCTGGTGGGGTCGGTTACCCATGACGCACACTAGTCGCGTAGGGGTCTGTTTGTGTAGAGCCTCCCGCCACGAGGTTTAGGCGTAGAGAGCGTAGGTTAGTCATTGTTGAATCCTCGGCCCGGAAGCAGGGATCAGGGCCCTGATACCGAAGCTGTGTCAGCCAGCTTCGTGATCCTCCGGATCCTGGATCTTCCGATTCTAAAGCTTCGATTCTGAAGCTCCAGGGAACGAACCGAAACCAGGAGGGTTTTAGGATCCGAACCACGAATAGGCACACCCATAACAGTATATATAGTACTTAGAATAGCTTCAATTATAAAAACATGCATTACAAAATTATCACTTTGGGCCCTACTGCTTCATGACTATATTTTCAGTTTATATTCTCTACCTACTGCCACGGATCCTACGGATTTTGTTCCACAGTCATCAAGGGAGATGGCATGCCAAATAAAAGTATAGGTAGGCCTATGGTCTGGTATCGTATATAAAGATATCTACAGCAGTAATACTCGCGAGGCGTTGGGGAGGGAATGTGAATGGGAGCGACTTCACAGTGCCAGTGCTGTCTCTGTGGAAATGGATTCTGTTCGTTCCATATAATACCGCAATAGCTTCAGAATACCTACTTGCTGTTAGATATGGACAAACACTTAGATGCATAGACTGCGGATATGTGGAGACAGGCTCACCCTTGGCGGCATGTGAAAAGCCACCTAGTATCAATATGGCAACCCCCTCTATCTGTCCCTCGCGGACAATAGAGCCACCAATACAACCCTCAGGCTTACTCTTGTCTTCATCCATGACAGAGTTGAACTTGTCGTGTCTAATGCCTGGGACGTCAGGATAACCATGATACAGCTGTATGTGCAACGTCCGGTTGCCGAATAAATCCCTATATACGAGCATCCGCAGTTCAAAGGGCAACCGAGAAAAAAATAAGCTTGATGATTGCGAGGCTGTATGCAAGATTGGGGTTGGCGGCTCAGCCGGATTAAGCGGATACGGCGATGAATCCAGAGTTAAAGCACGAGGCGTGGCGTAGGGAGAGTTGGGTATGCCAGAGATTGAGGTTTTTCGTTCCTAGGAGATTCTCTCTTGGCACCAAACCAGGTCAGAGGAGTATAAGGCTTCTGACGAATACGATGTAGCCAGTGCCACCTAGGAGAATTCGTAGTCCCTCCACCGCCACACCTTAAACAGTCAGCATGGTCGTGGCTCATTGTTTTGTGTTGTTAACAAAAGCTTCGTCGTGTATGGAAGGCGGCAATTGTGACTACTGCGTTATGGCTGACAGGGTTGAAAAATCGGCAGGGGGTCACAAGGGTCTGAATCATGTTGATAAAATCAATAAAGCAAGCAATTCTTTGGTATGTTTGTAGGCTCTAAATTCGACTTTGGGGTGTATATATGAGACAAAGGCAAAATGCTGACAATAAAACGCAGGCTATGCAAAGCATTCTAGAAGGTAACCATAACCAAGTAGAAGAAAGAAAATGTACTACAGGATCCGTGAACATGACCATCTATATTACGTAATCGTCTAGGTATGATCTCCTGTATACCTAAAACTTACACTCCCCTCTTTCCGTCACAAATTTCGGTACAGGGGCTACCTTGTCACCCCCAGCCCAGTTTATAATTGTCATCGAGGTTGTGTACACCATGACTATAGCGCCGCAGACGCAAAGGAAAATATCGGAGAACTTCCGGAAACGAGTCGTTGCAACGGCGCGGTAATGGAGCATAGGCTGTTGGCTGTTAGCATGTCGGTTCTAAGTGATGGGAGAAGGCAGGGGAACTTGCAGGATAAATATAAACAAGTGGCACGCAAGCAAAGCTTCCAACGATGGCCACAAACTTGTCCAAATCTGCCGCACCACCCCATGCAATAGCAGCACAGAGCATCACGACGAAGAAGCGGAAGGCATTCTTTTGCCACTTGATATATGGATTGTACTTTCCGCTCCTCGTGAAAAGCTCGGTTTCGGTGATGCGGATGGCTGGGAAGATCTGGAGAGGCGTTGACAGCAGAATCGCAACGCTGTACATGAACTGCACCGCATTGACGAATTTATCGTCTTGCGGCATGTTGAGGATGACAACGGTTTCAGTCTTAGAGCCGAATGCGGCATAAGAGAGCGCACCCATGGATAGGAAGATAACGGTAATAATAACCATTACTAGGCCCAAGACACGTGGGAACTTTTGTGGCTCGCGCATCGATTCTTGGATGGGAATGATGAGACCAATCCCTTCAAAGGTGAAAATGGCGGTTCCGATGAAGAGAGTCCAGTCTTTCGGATTGAAGTTAACGATATCAGCTACTCCTTGCGTAGCAATAGTGAATATGTCGAAGTAGTAAAGATAAGCCAAACCAAGAAGAATCAAGGCGTCGGCGACAAGGGCCGTAAATGCTAGTTTGCTGATGTCTCTCATCAACGAAAATGGCAGGAATATCGCCATTTGCATCAAGATCAGATACTTGATCTCGATATGCGTTTTGCAGTCTGACACGGCGAGTATAAATGCTTGGAGGTTCTCCGAGGTAAAAACGATATATGCAGCGACGAATCCAATCTGGCTGATAACGATTGATGCAAGGATGGCTGTTCGCAACCACTTCCCGTATAAGATGCCGCCCATATCACCAAATGACCCTTCTATCTTCAATCGTGTATTGACCAAGAGCACAAAGCAATAGTAGCTGATAATTGCGACAAAAAGAAGAATCACGTTGCTGAAGAGCATTCCGCCGTTTAGGTAGGCCTTCGGCAGGAAGAGCACGCCAGTGCCGACGAAGGACTTCAGCAGAAGCAGGAGTGCTCCCCAAGAGTCATTTTGGCCGCTCCCACCACGGTCCTTCCGTCTCCTCTTCTTACGTGCGCCTGGGGTAAGAAGAGCGCTATTTTCCATGCGCTCCCCTTCACTACCCTCCCCTTCATCGTAAAACTCATCATATGAATCGGAGGCAAAGTACTCGTTGGGCCCCAATGCTTCGTCGTCTTCCTCGAGCTCTTCACCAGCGAAGTGGCCGTATATCGTTAGGAATTCCATGAAGTTGTTCGTGAACAGCTTTGCATGCCTTGGGTTTCTTGCCGAACCACTGCTTTCGCCTTCTTCTACATCTCTCTCAGGGCTGGGGCTTGCGGCGACTCTTCGTAGGTAATTCCGGCGCATTCCACCAGGTACTTTTATCGAGTTGATATCGAGCACTTCGTCGTCTGTATGCGGCCTTGAGAGGTTGAAGCTGTGACTCCTCCCACGCCCTCGGCCAAGCGCTCTAGCCTCCTCAGTCCACTTGTATATCGGTCTAGTAATATCTCCTCCTTGCAACTGCAAGCTGGAAAACTCATTGGCGCCTAAACCTGGTGCAATAGAATCGAAGTCCGTCTTTGTCTTAGAAGTATCACGGTGCGTGTCAGACGCACCATTGGAAGCGTCATCACTCTCTTGCACTTCCGAGGATTGAACAAGATGCCTTTGAACAATGTCTGGATCTTCAAGTCCGGTTGTACCTTGGTAGCCAGAGGCGTGAGCACCTTGTATCGAGCGAGTGAATGAGCCGTAGTTGGTCTGTGGGTCGGCGGCCTGCAAATTCGCACCCGCAGTTCCAGGAGACAAAGGTCGTAGCGGTGCAGTGCCAAACCGAGGCGGGGAATTGCCAATAGAGCTCGAAAAGGCGGCAGCAAGTGCAGAGACTCCAGGGCCTGTAAGGGATGAGTGCTCGGTCGGGCCGCCAGCAAGTGGCGTTAACGAATCCCCTGCTGTGCCTGCCTGGCCGGATACGGGTATTTGCCGCAGTGTAGGAGTGCCAGACAAATGGCTCGAGGGAACTGGCGACGCAAGCCGGGCAGTGGATGATGCACGAGGCGCGGAGGTCCCAAGTCGAGACGACCCAGGAGACGTGCCCAGCAGAGGGTTGGAAGCCGAATGGTCCATTGTAGTAGATGCGGCGGATGGCTGATTCGTCGCAAGGCCTTCACAATCTCGATGTCGAATTGTGGCCTCTATCGCAGCATACCGGGCGTTGAGTGAGGATGACTATGAGGTACTCTTCTAGAGTAGGTAGCTTGAAGGGTTGTTCGTGTTAACGCCAAGTACTGTCTGTGGTCAGGAGACAAAACTTGGGATAGGAGAACTAGAAGGTGTTAGAGTGATTGAGGCTGACGAGATTTATGTTTCTCTTGATGCATTGATAAGCGGATCCCAAAGGCACAAGACCCCCCTGTCACGCACTCTGGTACACTTGGGGGTATTTGGAGAATTTGGTCACGTTTTTTCTCTTATCAGTGCCGCCAATCAATCGGGTGGAGCTACCCGGGTTGCCCTGTTTTATGTGCCTGGCCCCGACGTCAGAGGATGCTTCGAAGCTCACGCCAAGAGTCAAATTAATTCAATCAATAACTACGAAGTCTCTTAGCTATCCCGCCTTCCCAACTTGCTCAATAACTGCTCGAGTACTATCACGATGAAATCGTTATAATTGTGACTTTCTTACTCTCCGTGGCTCGAGGCCCATTCGACCCGTGGCCGTCGTGCTTCCTAGATTGGCATCTGAACCTCCATCGTCGAAGTGAGGGGCAATGGCTCCTGGGAACGACCATCCTCCGACGAACCGACCAACATTTCAGACCCGAACTGCGGTAGATGTTGCTGGCGAGCTGAATAGCCGGTTCTCCGTTTTTGTGGACGACTCTACTCCCTCTCAGGAAACCCAGTTTGGCGGCGATAAACCTTCTGGTAGCAATGAAGCTCTGAGCTCTGGTACTTCGAAAGGCGGCAGTATCTTGTCGTCGCCATTTAACTTTACGAAGCGAGTTTTGAATATCCATACTGGCTCCAGCTCGACCGAGACCACGCCCTTACTCCGAAAGCGAACAACGACCAACGGGCAGAAATCACAAACATCACCGACACGGGCAGGTCCACACGCAGACCAAAGAAATCCTGATGGCGATGATAAGCGGACAAAGCCTGGGCTGGGCCCAAGGCCAGTTGGAGGTTCTGACAAGCTTGGGACGTTCTCAGGAGTGTTTGTACCGACATGTCTGAATGTGCTGAGCATTCTTATGTTTTTGCGTTTTGGGTTTATATTAGGTCAAGCAGGAGTTCTTGGTATAATGGGTAAGGCTATGCTATCTCGATATACCTTTGTGTCCAATCTGACCACCATATCATAGGAATGCTCGTTGCCGCTTACTCCATCGATCTCATAACGATATTCTCTCTTTCAGCGATTGCATCGAACGGCACAGTTCGTGGAGGCGGCGCCTATTATCTCATATCAAGATCACTAGGCCCGGAGTTTGGAGGTGCAATAGGACTCGTCTTTTACATGGGCCAAGTCTTCAATACTGGTCTTAACGCAGTTGCCTTGGTTGATGCCATTCAAAATAATATTGGTGCAGCCACCGGAGACTGGGCTCGAATCTTACCGGAATCCCAAGGCTATAACTATCTGTGGGCCACTGTCGTGCTTCTTGTATGCACGGGCACCTGCCTTGCAGGAAGCGGCGTTTTTGCTCGTGCCAGCAATGGTTTACTTATCATTTTGCTCATTTCCACCATGAGCATTCCATTTTCTGCGTTGGTTATGGCACCATTCGAGAGCCGCCAACTTGGCATTCAGTTTACTGGGGTGAGCTTGGATACTTTCAAAGGCAACCTTTTCCCTCGTTTTACCAAAGGCGCTGCTGGCAGCCAGTCGAAAGGACGAGAAAGTTTCCAGGGGCTTTTTGGCATTCTATTCCCAGCAACTTCAGGAATATTTGCTGGCGCAAGCATGAGCGGAGATCTTAAACATCCTAGCAAAGCTATTCCGAAAGGCACTTTGTGGGCCCTGGCTCTAACATTTGTTTTGTATACACTTGTTATACTTTCATTGGCCTGCACGGTGACCAGAGCCTCATTCGTTGCGGACATAAATATTATTCAAGATACGAACGTTTCTGCTGCTCTAGTTTTGGCAGGAGAGTTTGCAACCACATTCTTTTCAACATTGATGGGTGTTATCGGATGTGCTAAGCTTATGCAAGCCCTCGCTCGAGACGAGCTATATCCTGGGCTAAGCATTTTTGGACAAGGAACTAAGAAAGCCGACGAGCCCGTATATGCGATTTGCTTCACTTATCTCGCAGCACAGATTGTCATGCTGTTTGATATCAATCAGATTGCGTCATTGATCACCATGGCATACCTGGTATGTTGTCTCTCCGACTTTACTTTCCCTACTATTCCCTGGGTGCTGTTTATACTTCTCGTCCGTTGCGAGAGTATATTTGATGCTTCTACATATTGGATAAAAGTGATAATCATACTGACCTTTGCAGATGACATTCCTGGTCATGAACCTAGCCACGTTCCTCCTCAAAATAGGATCTGCTCCAAACTTTCGGCCATCCTTCCACTTTTTTAGTTGGCAAACTGCCTTTCTCGGTGCCGTTTTCTCTGGGACTGCAATGATATTTGTCGACGGGGTTTACGCCAGCGTTTGCGTGGCAATTTTGATAGTATTGTTCCTCCTGGTACACTACACTTCTCGACCGAGAAGCTGGGGCGATGTTTCCCAGAGTCTGATTTACCATCAAGTTCGAAAGTACCTTCTCCGGTTGAAGCCAGAGCACGTCAAGTTTTGGAGACCACAAATATTGCTGTTTGTGAATGACCCGCGACGACAATACAAACTCATACAGTTCTGCAACTCTATGAAGAAGGGTTCTCTATATATACTGGGTTAGCCATTAACCAAACTTTTATGAGACAAGGCTGACTGTGTATCAAGGCCATGTAGTTGTAAGCGACGATTTTGGGCGTACGGTACCAGAGGCCAGACGCCAACAAGTCGCATGGTCCAAATATATCGAATTTTCAAACGTGAAGGCTTTTGTCAATATAGCAATTTCTCCAACCTTGGAATGGGGAGTGAGGAATTTGTCCTTGAGCGCCGGGCTTGGAGGAATGAGACCAAATATCGCGGTTATTGGATTCTATAATATGGATGACTTGAATAAATCCAAGTCTACAACACTTTCATCGCCGACGGATGCTGCTGGTACACAAACACCCTCAGATGGATATGACCAGGAGGCTCCAAAAGACGGCCCATCAGACGACACTAGTGGCTTGAAACTGGCGGCGCAGCTGCCGACAGACTCATGCCAAACGGAGAGCACCACCAGTATCATGAGCTATGTTACTGTTCTCGAAGACTTGTTGCTGCGCCTACAGATCAATGTTGCCGTCGCCAGGGGATTTAACGGCCTCGAGATTCCAAACCCCAAGGGCCATAACAAGAAAAAATATATTGATCTCTGGCCTATCCAGATGTCCGCTGAAATTGCTGCTGATGGGCCGATGATGGCCAACTTGCTGACAACAAACTTTGATACTTGTAGGTCCTATCCAATACTGTCAATATATAGCGATAGTTCACTGACCTGGATACAGATACCCTTATCCTACAACTAGGATGCATTCTTAACACAGTCCCAAGTTGGAAAAAGTCATATAAACTACGAGTAGCTGTCTTCGTGGAGTACGAGACTGATGTGGAGGAAGAGCGGATACGTGTGAAGAGTTTGCTGGAAAATCTTAGGATTCAGGCCGAGGTTAAGGTCTTTTGGCTGGCTTCAGGGTCCCTCCCGACATACGAAATTATTGTCAATGGTAACAGCTCAGGCCCAGAGGCTGAGGCCGAAGTTGAAGAGTGTCTCAAGGACCAAGAGTGGTGGGAAGAAATGCAAAAAATCAGAGGTAAGAGAGGGCAACCATTGGCAAGCGGTCTTGGTCTTAATGTGGAGAACCTGCTCGGATCGTCTGCTTGGCCAGACGCATCGTTTCAGCAGGGACCAAGGCATGAAAAGGTTGAACGATTCCTGGGCCTAAGGAATCTTCTGCACAAATCGAAGAGAAGACGCACTATGAGCGGTTTCAGCAAGTTGGGTGTCAACCTGGGCATGCGTGCTCAGAGGCTACCTGCTCAGCTTACGCACCGAGCCAGCTCAGAGCGAGATTATAGCGACTCGGAAAGTAGCAGCGATGATTCTGATGAAGATAACGACGACGATCAAAGTATTGCTTCGGAGGCCGATGCTGACGACCGTAAATTGGATAGCGATGGTGATCTTCGGAGCTCGACAAAGCTTGTGAGGCGTAAAAGCCACGGAGATGCCATGCAGGGGCCGCGTTCAGCGAGGAACCTGGTGGCACCAAAAGAATTAACCTTGAAGAACAAGTCTAAATCGAATACTGCGTCTAATACAACGACACCAGCAAGGTCTCTGAAGGATTTTGATACTTCAGGCGGGGCTCCGTCTCTCAAGGAGTCACAGGATGCAAACACAGCTCCTACCACATCATCAAACATGGAACCCCCTCCCCGGAAGCTTGAAGAACGGTTCTCGGCACTTCGTCAATCTCCTAGCAAATCACAGCTTTCGCCAACAAAACCATCGCATGCTAGCGGTGCCAGAGAACGACCAATTTTATCTCGCCATGCTTCGAGCCAGAAATTCAGTTCTAAGCCAGTGCCAGTCTCACAAGTGGCCTCGCAGGATGGCGCGGGACCTTCAATCATGTTTATTGATACCCCTTCCCCATCAACCAAGCACAGTCGTCTCCAATCAGCATACTGCTCCTCCCAAGACAACAACGACAACGGTGGCACATCATCTAACAACCCTTCGTCGTCGCCACCTAAATCTCTCGGGTCAACATATTCTACACAATCTCTCCCCTTGTCTTTCAACGACCTTCCATGCCGGGCACAGCACCTGATCCTCAATGAACTTATGAGGCAGAATAGCAAGGATACTGCGGTGATGTTCACGACGCTACCAAGCCCATCGCCAGGGACACATCAAGATGAGGAAGCTTGCATAGCATACATTAGCGATTTGCAGGTTCTGGGACGGGGTTGTCCGCCATGCTTGATGGTGCACAGTAACAGCATGACTGTTACGATGAGCCTATGAGTTTATAGAATGATTTTCGGGATTGGTTATAAGCGTCGCACAATGTTTCTGTGTTGTTTGGATTGATAGCGAAATAAATACCAAGAATATATTGACAAGAAATTTTATTATATATGTAGAAGGTCAGGTAGAGCCCATTCTCCTCAAGGTTGTCTGATTGAATTATGGTTATTTTACGTATTTAGAACTAGTTCAGAGACAAGGACAAAGGGAATTTATATTAAAAAGAGTTCTATACAAACCAAGCTATTACTCCGCAATTTTATTAAACCTGCGCCCCCAGAAAATAATAACCGTTCTAACCCTTCTATATATTGTAACAAACAATTTAAAAATTCGACCTCGACGATGTGCTATTACACCATTATGCGACGGCAAACCTACTTCTCTTTCTCAAGTTCCCGCCGAAATAGTAGAGAGCGTAAAAGCCGACAGAGCAGAGTAATGCCAGACCAGCTAAGAAGCTGACACCTCCTCCAACGCCAAGGTTAACGAACAGTGGCGGTCCGAACAAAATTGCTGCTCCGGTGAGGGTGCTACGCGCTGCGTCGTTTGCGGCAAATAATGAAGCCGCGTACTTTGGGTATATGTTGGGAATGAAGGTGAAAAGAATGTTCAGAACGATATAGGATCCCGATTGGCAAACGGCTACTATGAGGGGACCGATCCAGTGTACAGAGGAGAGTGCTGTATTGGAAAACCATGTTAGTTGATATCGCTAAGTATGAGGAGTTTGTACTCACCAAAGATGAAGAGCCCAATCGGCACAAGGAAGTTACCAATAAGACCTGGTTTCAACCATACTTCAGGCTCTGGGGTACCGCTCTTAAGCAGTCCTGGTTCAACATAATAGGCATAGTGTGCGAGACAAACCGGAATAGTGAGTTCGACTCCAATCGGGATAAAGAGAAATGCGAGCCCAGACTCGCCAGAGCTAAAATTGTACAACGCTGGGAAGACCAATGGGAAGGCCTCGAAAAAGGTGTAAAAGATGGCGTAGCATAAGCTTGCATATAGCGTCGTAAGTAAGACCGCAGGTTCGAGAATGTTCATTTCCCATGGCTTGACCAAGGCCTCGAATGCCATCTCCTTGGCGGACATGTGCTGCTGGGTAATCTCTGACTGGGACCTGATACTTGCGTTGCCAGTGACTTTGCGAAGTCGAGCCGCATGTCGAAGTAGGATGTTGTCGCTCGAGGTTTCGGGGAGACAGAAGAGCAGTAGGAGGAACACAGGAGCTGAAAGCCAGTAGTTCTCCCACAGACTCCAACGCCAGCCTTTCACGGGGACGAAGAAACCAGCAACGATTGGGCCCGTTGCGGGGGCCATGGTTCCTGAAGCTACCCAAAAGGCTAAACAGTAGGGGAGCTTGAGGAAAGTGAACATGTCTGAGAAGCCGGCGGCACCAGTTGCCAAAAATGGGGAGCCTATTATCTTATTAGACGTGCTTCAATGTAGAATATCGCAGTATATGTAAATAACTCACCAAACCACCCAAGGAGGAAACGTAGAACTAGTAGTCCTCCGATGTTCTGGACCAAGGCTGTTGGTATCAATAAGATGACAAAAATGAAAAATGTGACGATATAAATAGAAGTTCTTCCAAGAATCGGAATTCTACACAATGTTAGTTGCTGAAATTACGTTGTGATATCAAGGGCTTCACTTACTCGCTCAGTGGAGAGCATAGTAAGGCACCTAGCCCATCTATATACCTCGTATTAGCTGGAGTTAGGTCTGTAGGAAGAATAGTACTGACAACTTATAACATAAAGGGCAAGTCCTAAAGATGCTACAATTTCGGAGACTCCAAACTCTTTCATGACCCCCTCCATGCTAGGAGCATAAATCGCAGAACCAATATAGATAGTGAACGTGTACAGGTTAGGTGATTGTAAGTGGATGTATATTCGGCAGCATAAGATTGTCTTACCAAATCTCAAATGCTACAAAGACCTTCTTTCTCGTGCTCCAATTCCGAGGATTTGCTTGGTCGCCTTTATCCATCCGTTAGCAATACACCTGAGAACAAAAATTAATCCCAGTCACTAACCTTCCGAGTACCAATCCACCAAGAAAAATTCATTCTTGGGAGTCGCAGGTCAGTAGCCGAATCGCTCTTCGGCTCTGGTTTCTCAAGGTCGGGGATATCCGCAGCATCAATTGATTTCTTTTCTTTCTCTAATGTAACTTTCTCTAAACTTTGTGCTGTCGGATATTGGAATTGGAAACCTGGGAGCTCCTCTGCCCCTGGTCATCTTTGGCGATACGTTGTGGCTGCATGTCACCAGCATCACTCCGAACCCCAACCGCAACCGGACCTTCGGAGGAGGGTTAGCGTTCAGTCTTCGTATGCGACATCTCTACAGCAGCGCAATATTGGATGCCAAGGGTATTATCGAGACCTTCGTGAATAGAGGTTGTTACTATCTATTCTTGAGGCCATCTCCCTTTTACCTTCTCAGTTAAACCTGCCCTTTCTACTACTTCTCGACTTCTCGTAACAGCCTCTTCTATAATCTCCTCCTCATTCATCGTGAGCAGCTCTCCGCCCTTCACGACCATCTTGCCGTCCACAACCACAACATCAACATCTCTCCCTGTCGCCGTATACACCACAGCGCTAACGGCATTAAACCAGGGCTGAGAATGAATCCCTCGGACGTCAATAGCTACAAAATCAGCCTTCTTACCAATTTCCAAACTGCCAATGCGATCTTGCAACCCCAACGCCTTAGCGCCATTGATCGTGGCCATTTCTAGGACCGATTCCGCCGGAACGGCTCTGGGGTCATATGAAATGCTTTTATGGATGATAGCTGCGAGTTTCATCTCTTGTATCAAGTCGCAGGAATTGTTGCATGGTGCACCATCCGTGCCCAGACCGATATTTACACCAGCCTTCTGCAGGTCCGGAACACGACAGATACCAGACGCGAGCTTCGCATTTGATGTCGGACAGTGTGCAACGTGAGTGCCAGATTCGGAGAGCAGCCTGATATCGGAATCGTCGAGATGGACCATGTGGACCAGCACCGTTGAAGGAGAGAGAAGTCCCACGGAATCACAATACGACATAGGCGTGTGGGAGACGGAGGCGAAGAAGTCGCGGTCGGCACGGACTTCGGCACAGTGCATTGTGATAGGGATACCTTTTTTGCGTGATATTTCTGTCATTTCTTGGTAAAGATTATCGGATACTCTAGTTCTTGTTATTCATGGCACCTTGGTAGGGGGTGTCGACTGTTGAATTGGGATTTCTACATACCCTCCAGGAGTCCTCGCTCCGAACCACACCCGAATTCGGTCATCCGCCTTACCATTCCATTTCTCCCACATCTTCACCGTTCCTAGTAATGACATTTCTCTGTCTTCAACTAGACCGGGGTGCATCGCCCAGGCATCGTCTTGGGCGTATTTGGCAATATCCATGACGATTTTGCCAAGACAGCCGCGGATACCACTTTCCTGGACAGCACGGCAGAGTCCATCAAAGCCATACCTATCGGCGAACTAATTCCAAACATTTAGTACTTCAGCTCTGAGGGGGTTTGTATTGGTTACAAAAATATGAGAAAATGTGCCTACCATACTCTCTAAGAAACATGTGGTTCCTGTCTTCAACATCTCACCAATGCTAAGCCGTGCTGCCGCATAGCCATCAGCTTCTGTGAAGTTGCCCTGCAACACCCAGATCCTTTCACAGAGCCATGAAACCAATTCTAAATCATCAGCTGCGCCTCGTAGTAAGGTTTGGGCTGTGTGCACGTGTGTTGAAATTAATCCGGGGATGATAATTCGGCCAGTGAGATCGTATTCTTCGTCGTCGGCGTAACGTCGTTTGAGCTCCTTCGTCTTGCCTAAATCGGCGATTGAATCACCCTGGACGCGGATGGCTCCATCAGTAATGATGCGCCGAGAGGGATCGACCGTGATTATTGTTGCGTGTGTGTATAGCATTCTGCTGAAAAGTGATTTACTGAATGCTTTTGAGACCTAGAATCCGGGATTAAGATGGTGGCCATAGCTTAGATGTTATCTACATCAGTTGCAATTGTGGAGAGGCGGAGGCCGCCGACATACGGGACTAAGATCAGAACGACAGGGGCAATAATCCACCATGATAAGGTCGACGAGCTAAATTACCAACGCTAGAATTACACACTCCAATTAGTACTCAATCCGAGTAGACCACAATTTAGGATTTATATACCCTACATCTACCCTGTAAAGATTTATCTACCCCACCGCCTTCCGTAACCCCTGCAATTCCCGTGACCTCGCCAGGGACAGCTTTCCTCCGCACAAACCCAGGAAGCTCGGCCAGCGTCTCGACGCTCAGTCCGGAAGACGAACTTCTCCTTTACGGCCCAGTCGTCAAAGGCATGGGCGACGTTGTCCATTTCGTAGAACTTGGTGCCATGGTCAGGCACCGAGAGAACAATGAGGGCGGAAGCTGCGAATCAGCGTATCTTCATCACCGTCGTCAAGATTGCGGTTAGAGCGGCCGAATTGATGGTGGTGTGGTGATGATGGTGGTTGTCCGGAAATTATCACATTGGCAGAAAAGCTGAAAGGGGTTAGCGGTGGGCAGATACTGTACGTTAGTCAGATTATATACTTTAAGCTAGGCGACTCTATTTTAGGTTAACTTGCTATATTCCTGCAATCCCATGTGAGTCCCCGAACTCCTTATCTATTACTATCTTCCCACGAGGCAGTTATCATCGCCAAGATAGCCAAAACGTGGGGAAAGGAGATAGCAGCATCATGATCAGGATCGAGCATGCAGGACGCTGTAATTAAATATCTAGACATTCCCTCCTTGTAGAAATTCACTATGGTATCGCAATCCGTTCTCTATTTACACCATGGACAACTCAATCCGTTCCACCGATGGTCCCGATACCATCGGTCCCGATCCACACCCAAGAAAGACATTCCGCCATTACTTACAACGAGTCCGCAATTCTTTAACCACAAGGGAAGGCTTGATCGGCAACTATGACTATGCCTTTTTATTCCGCCCTAATCTTCCATTCATGGCGAAGACCGACACATCCGCTCCTTTCTTCGGCGTCAACGATCCCATGCCTACATTGCTCGCCCTGCTTCTTGGTCTCCAGCATGCCCTCGCCATGCTGGGAGGGATTGTTACACCACCTATTATCATAGCCAGTGCAATCTATCTCTCCGCCGAGCAGACCCAGTACCTAGTCTCAACCACGCTGATTGTATGCGGGCTGCTAAGTCTCATACAAATCACCCGGTTTCACATTTATAACACACCGTACGTTACTCAGTGTCTAGAAATGGAGAACAGCGATGTCAGTTCTTCATGTAGTAGCAATAGCTAACAGGCTTAGATATTACATCGGCTCCGGCATCCTCTCCCTGGCAGGCGTTTCGTTCACCATCATCACTGTGTCAAGTAGTGCCTTTGACCAAATGTACAAAAATGGATTCTGCCCCTCCGCAGAAGACGGCACTCCGTTGCCTTGTCCTGATGCCTATGGTGCCTTAATAGGAACAAGCGCCTGCTGCGCGCTGATTTTAGTTCTGATTTCCTTCATGCCGGCCAAAATGATCCAGAAGGTCTTCCCGCCGATCGTAACCGGTCCCACCGTCATGTTGATTGGAGTCTCACTTATCCAAAGCGGATTTAACGGATGGCTCGGCGGTGCCGGAATGTGTATGTCCAGGCCGGAATCGGGTCTATTTATGAATTGTCCTAATGTGAACGCACCGCATGCTCTTCCATGGGGAAGCGCCGAATTTGTTGGTCTGGGATTTTCGGTCTTTGTGACCATACTGATCTGTGAGAGGCTAGGGTCCCCGATTATGAAGTCTTCTTCAGTTATCATAGGGTTGCTGGTTGGGTGCATTATTGCGGCGGCGTGTGGGTATTTTGACCGTTCCGGCATTGATGCTGTGAGTATATCAAACTGCTCTGCGAATGGATTCGGCAATACGAAGACACATGGGACTAATTGTACTCTTTAGGCTCCAACAGCGTCATTCATCTGGGTACACACCTTCAAACTTCAAGTCTATGGTCCCCTCGTCTTACCATTACTCGCTGTCTACATCATCACCGCCTGTGAAGCCGTGGGTGATATAACAGCTACATGCGACGTATCACAGCTAGAAGTTCAGGGGACGATATTTGACTCGAGAATCCAAGGCGGGCTTCTTGCAGACGGCTTCAATAGCGTCCTCGCGGCCCTCATGACGGTCACGCCGATGACAACTTTCGCACAGAACAATGGCGTTATTGCGTTAACACGATGCGCCAACCGAAAGGCAGGATATTTTTGCTGGTATGACCATTATATCGGTTTGTTTGATATCGGCTAACCGGGATTTGTAGCTTCTTCCTCCTTGTAGCTGGTATCTTCGCGAAATTCGCCGCAGCTATAGTAGCTATCCCCTCAGCTGTCCTGGGCGGCATGACAACCTTTCTTTTTGGCTCGGTCGCAGTCAGTGGTCTAGCGATTGTGTCGAGGGTCCCCATGAACCGCCGCAATCGGTTTATTCTAACTGCTGCACTGGCATTAGGGTGAGTTCAGATTTCGTCGCCATAGTCTGTCCTCAAACTAACTGTCTTGTTTAGCTACGGCGCCACCCTCACCCCAACGTGGTTTTCATACGTTTTCGGTGCAACAGACAATAAAAGCTTGCGAGGATTTTTAGAGGCCATTGAACTGGTATTGGAAACTGGATTCGCTGTTACAGCCTTGTAAGTTTCACACACCTATTTTTCAGCTTTTTTTACCATTTAAGTTACTAATAATTCGCGGAAATATAGTATAGCTATGCTCTTAAGCTTAATCATGCCAGCGGAGGCGGAAGATGTTAGATATTCTGCCGCTGTCTCGTCGATAAATAAAGTAGAGTAAAGTTTATAACTTAAGTTAACTTAATAGTAATTAATTAACGTATTTCACATGTCGCTCACCTCATTTCTCACTAAAAATTAGGAAATTTACAACATAATATCTCAACAATAACACAATAATAGATTTTAAAAATATATCGATAGGTTTTTGTTAGAGGTGATTGCGGAAAGTGGGAATTACACACGGATTTGTATGGTAATCCCCAACCACCGTAATTGATTCCTTGCGGGTAACGGAGCAGAAGCTTCACAGTAGAACACGGTAAATACAGTATATAGATCAAAATTAATTACTACCTAATCTACGGGCCTACGTACGCTATTTGTAGCCCCGGGGGAAACCCCCAAAACCCTGACGAGCTGAGCTTTCCGGACTTCAGCTGGGTTTGGATCAGTGGCTTCCAATAGTATGGCGCCACTGTCTCACCCGTAAACTAAACTGGGAGTTGGATGATCCCACGGGGATAACCCGTTATTTTGGGTGTAAAAACCCACTGTTTCCCAGCGGGAAAGTCCGTTTCCCTCAACAGTTTTCCTATCGAAGTCAAGTCACATGGTATCAGTCATGTGAAACATAGCGAGATTGTTGTAATATGTCACATGATCTCAGCACCACTTCCCCGCAATTTCAGGCAGCAATAGATAGACAGAACAACACGCATATTACTCAACAGTTATGAGCCCGGAGCAACTCCAAGACGCATTTTGAAACCTATAGAAACCCGTACGGACCTAATACCCCTCCTAGGAGTCGAAAAAACCATCATTATGGCGACCCTACAGAAGGCGGGGGTGGTCCTCACAAGCCCTAGAAACTGGGACGAGTGGATAGAGACTATCAAAACTGCTTCAATGAAGGCAGGAGTATGGGGGTATATCGATCCATCAATCGAGGACCCTCCTACACTCCTACAGCCCGTTCGACCTATTCCTGAGTTCGTACGGAGTGCCACGCAAGCTGGTGGTGGTGTTACTGCTCAAACAAGACCTGGAGTGTCAACAAGAGCTTCAGGTAGCCAGACCATCCAACCTTCAGTAGAAGGCCAACAGCAATTAACGCCAATTACGTACGCATCTCTTACAGAAGATCAGAAGGAATAGCTTCGAAACCTACAAGCTGATTTCCAATATGAGCGCAAGGTGTGGGAAAAGCAGGAGGAAGCAATTCAGGGGCTTCGCTCTAAGATCCAAGAAACCATCAAACGCGACTTCCTACCCTATACCTACAATTGCGATACTCCGTACGATATGCTTAGAAAGCTACGAGACTGATTCGCACCTACTCAAAGAGCTAGAATCGGAGAATGGAGACTAGAATGGCAAAAGGCTGCTAAAATGCAAAGAGGCAAGGACCTTGAAGACTGGCTCCTAAACTGGGAGAATCTATACACTCAAGGCCATACGTTACAGGCAACAGAGGTTATCGACCCTCACGACGCTATCTATACCTTCCTTGATGCAATAGGACCTTGCGAATTCTGAGGATCATGGAAACACAAGCTAGAGAAGCAGACAAAGTCGTACGAATTTGAGGAGGTCCTACGACAGTATAGAACCAACCGTAGGCAAGAGAGATTCACCCAGAAACCTAGGGGGGAACATGGAGTTTTCGCACTACAAGAGGATGACAATAGCGACCTACAGCCAACGCTCCAAGGCCGTACGAACAACCTACAACAAGGTCAGCAAGGTCAGAGAGGCAGAAAACAGAAAAATCAGGCTCGACTAGACTGCCCTTGCGGAACAACACACAAGTGGTGGGACTGCCTCTATGTGATGAAGTCAAAGCGTACGGGGCAATGGCGCCCAAATAAAGAGATTGAAGCTAAAGTAGAGGCCTATATAAGTGACAAACCAGGATTCCAGTACGTTATCCAAAAGGCAGAAGAACAGAACAATTTCAACAACCCGAATGGAGTACAATCCCGTACGAATACAGATCCACCTATGTCTTTCACTACAGTCTTCCAAGTCTCCCAAGGACTAAAGCCGAAAACCTCAGCCTATGAGCTCTCTAAAAGCATAATTCTCGACTCTGGAGCTACAATTCACGTCTGCAACGACCGTACGAGGTTCTACAATATCCAAGAATGTCAAGATAATAGCTACCTCTTAGCTGGAGACCAAAGGGTGAAGATTGAAGTGTTTGGGTCTGTAGATATTACAGTCCAAAACGGGGAGGATAAGAAGTCTCTACGGACTATCACCCTTACAGATACAGCTCTCGTTTCATCCTTCCACACTTCAGTCGCTTCTCTTAGACGATTCATCCAAAAGGGAGTTCATTGGAATACCGCCGCACAAGGACTTACGTACGGAGATCAACCGTTCTGCAACACTCCAATGCTTCATGGACAATGGGTTCTTGAATACATCAAAAATGAGCCTACCCGAGCTGTTTATAGCACTCAGGATCAACAGGACAACATTGTCCTATCTTCGTACGGACCTCGTAAGGACCTAAAAGGCACTGCAAAGGAATGGCATAACCGCATGGGACACCTAAACCAAAACGCCATTAGAAAACTCCAAGAGAAGACCGCTGGAGTTATCGTCACAGACCTAGACTCGTACGATACTCAGTGCGAAGTATGCCAACTTATGCATGCTACAAGGCAGATTTCTAGAAGATCTACACCACGCTCAAAAGTGCCATATGAGAAGGTCCACCTTGACCTAATCCAAATGCCAGAGGCGTACAATGGCAGCACACAAGCCTTACACTTCCTATGTGATAATTGCCGCATGAACCACGTCTATACTATTAAGGATAAAACACAAGGAATGCTCCTACAGACGATTAAGGACTTTGTGAGCTACGTACGGAGAAGATGGGGGTTCCAAATCTGCATATTCCACCTAGATGGTGAAGCCTCACTTGGAAATGAATGGGAGGGTTGGATTAAGGACGAAGGATATAAAATCCACATCTCTCCACCCTATACAGCAGAGCCGAACGGAGGAATAGAGAGGTCAGGCCATACGATAATCACACGACCACGCGCACTTAAAGAATCAGCCAACTTACCAGAAGGAATGTGGCCTGAGATTTTCAAAACAGCAGGGTACCTCATAAACCGCTCACCATCGTCAGTCATAAACGATGAGACCCCGTACGGACTTCTACTCCAGTCCTTACCTACAGAGAGCCAAAAGCCAGAGCTACTTAAGCCATTACTCTCTCATATTCGCGCTTATGGCTGTAGAGCCTATGCCCTTATTCTAAACAAGCCAAAGCTTGAGAGGATACAGAGGAACGCCAAAATAGGCTACCTAGTTGGCTATAACTCTACAAACATATTCCACATTTGGGTTCCGCAACTTAAAAGGGTTATAGTTACAAGAGACGTTACCTTTGATGAGACAAAGGCTTATGACCCTTCGTACGAGGCTCAGCTTGTCCAAACAGAGCTCGAAAAGACAGTTCAGGTCATTGAAATACCAGATATTCAAGATCAAGAAGATGAGGAGTTTGAGGGGGAACAACAGCCTCAGAACGGGACAACAATTCCGTACAAATCAGAGGCAACAAACACCTCCTCTCCTCAAGAAGAGCCGCCTACTCAGAAGGACCACGGAGCTACAGAGCTACAGGAACAACTTCAAACGCCTGAAATGACACCGGAACGCCCTGAGGACACCGTATGAAGACACGACGTCTACCTAGCTACAATAGCAATACCAGAAGCAAAGCTAAGCTTACACCAAGCTTTCCTAGTAGGAACGGAGTTCAATCGACAGAGCATACACCGTACGGACCTACCAGCTGCTCCAAAGTTCTGGAATCAACTCCAAACTCATCCACATCGAATAGGATTCCAAGCTGCAGCTGCAAAGGAAATAGGAGACCTTCGAAAGCAAGGAACGTTTACATCTGTCAACGACAGCTCCGTACGGAACTTTGTGATACCCCTTATGTGGGTTTTCACATACAAATTCAATGACAATGGCTACCTTCTTAAATATAAGGCTAGACTTGTTGTAAGAGGCGACCTACAACGCTATTCTATCCATGATGAGACGTACGCAGCTACGCTTGCTTCGAAAACCTTCCGAGCCTTAATGGCAATCACAGCCTACTTTGATTTGGATACACAACAATTAGATGCTATAAACGCATTCACAAACAGCCGTATTGATGAGGAGGTCTACATACGGTGTGCAGACAGCTACCAGGAGCAAGGAAAATGCTGGAAACTTAACAGGGCACTCTATGGACTTCGAAGGTCCCCCTTACTCTGGTTTCAAGACTTCTCAGAGACACTCAAGGCTCTAGGCCTCGTACAGGTCCCAGAAGCACAGTGTCTCTTTGTATCTTCAAAGATTATTGTCTTCTTCTATGTTGACGATATTTGCATCCTTAGCCATCCTAGCCACAAAATGGAGGCAACACAGTTCCGTACGAGACTGATGGAAGCGTATGAGTTTCGAGAAATAGGAGAACTTCAATGGTTCTTAGGCATAAGAATTGTGAGGGACCGCACCCAGAAAACCCTATGGCTGTGCCAGGACTCCTATATCGACAAGATCACAACTACGTATGGAGTAGCCTCTATTCGATCCACCCGAACGCCAATGGTTACAGACAACCTAACCCAATTTGACGGCCAGGCAGATAAGCAACAAATCCATCTTTACCAACAGAAAGTAGGATCAGCAAACTACGCAGCAGTCGTAACGAGACCTGATATAGCCCGTACAACACAGAAACTATCTGAATTTCTCATCAATCCAGGCCCAGACCACATGGCTGCAGTCGACAGACTTCTACTCTACCTTAAGGATACTAAGACCCTAGCTCTTCAGTTTGGACCTAATATTCAAGAGGCTCGCTTTCAATGCTCTAGTGATGCTTCGTACGCAGACTGCGAATCAACAAGAAAGAGCACAGAGGGTTATTTGTTTACCTTATTTGGAGGGGCAATAGACTGGCGCTGCTCAAAGCAGAAGACTGTGTCAACCTCTACAACAGAGGCAGAGCTTCTAGCTTTGTCCCACAGTGCGAAACAGCTCTATTGGTGGCAGCGTTTCTTCAACACAAT